CTTTAAAGGATAAATACTTACTACAGTAAAGCGACGCACCGACCCACCCCTCCCCCCAAAAAAACACAGAAGATGACAATTTGACCAATGCTATCACACATATTTATAAACTATAGGCTAAGTACATTAAGGAAAACCACCGTACTGTTTGTCCATCAATATGGTACCGACACCCCCCTTGGCTCATACACTAGTAGTTTATTGGTGTTGAAGTAGAGAAAGAGACGAGTGCACCCTCTCCTATAAAAAAATCCTGGATCCGCCTCTGTAACATCACCTGTAAAGTTTCATTGGATCCCACAAGATCACAAATGTTGTTGGAAATTAGATAAAAAAAACTAAGGGACATAAAATTGTATGCGACTTTTGACCCCAAGTGTAACTTTTCTTTTCATGATTCTTAATTCCCCAAGTCGACTAGATCTAATTCGCTTTATAAGCTTTCAATTCTAACCTTTAGAGTTTCATCCAGGGTAAGGCCAGACTATACCCAAAGTTTTCTTCTCTAGGAACATCAGAAAATGAAACTTGAAAAATGTTATTGAACGTTTACCAGCTTTTCTCACAATATCAATTACCACAAATCAAAATAATTCTCAATTAAAAACCTTTAGATAGGCAAAAAATAAAACCGTTGATTAGTAGGCTTATCAGGAACTAGGCTCTGGTACTGGTACTTTCCAAGTGCTTTTGCTGACGTCACTGTGTATACTTTTGATCATTAGCAAACGAACTAACCCATAGAAGGCGCCGCCGTATTAACAAGTTAAGTTTAAAAATTTTGAGAGGTCGTTAACCTGAGATAACTAATATGGTTCGGCACAGCCAATACTCAGAGATGAAAACTTAATAGCTTGATCAAACAATGAAAAGGCTACGTAAATAAGGCAAGAAATCTCAACAAAGATTCGCCTATACATTATGTCACTTATCAACTAACACCATTCCATTCCTAGCAACATGTTCGACTCCCCTTGAGTGAGCCCTGATTTTTCTTTCCTTTCTTTTCGAGTGGCCTGTATCACTGACTGAAAAAAAAGACAACGCTATTTTCATTTGTTCACAAGGTTCATTAACATCATTGCTTGAAACTTCTCCTTCTTCGTTGACCAAGCACTAAGTAATGAGTAAATAACTGATTGAGCTTTCGTATAAACTGAAGATCAAAAAACTGTTATCCGCCAGTACCGGACACCGTTTTTCCCTAACCTTTGAAACTTTTTTTACAAAGTTAACTAATTTTGTCGGTGTCCTACCTCGTAAAGAAGCTTAGGAATTTTCGGCAATATTTGTGACGCAAGGCGGCGGGGACATTTGTGGTGTGCAGTGGAAAGGATGATGGGAAAGCTTATAAACGTAAAGGCACATGGGAAGGCTCTACGTAAAAAACTGCCTTTCCCATTACCCTTTGCGCGGCGACTCAACGCTGCCTACGTCTGAGGAGTGGAAAGCGGAGCGTGTTGAGAATACTGAGCTTGCTCACTCTGACACTTACGTGAAATGATTCAGCTTGTTGAACTCCTTTTTTTATGAACGTCTAACGTCCCGTAACAATCGGAGAAAAATTCAATGGAGTCGTTTAAAAAGTACGTGAAAGAAGTAAAAGGGGACTGAATTTGTCAGATTTTAACCTGGGGATGACTAGAACATTCCATCGCAAACCAGTCAGGTTACCCTAACAGAAATGGAGACCAATTTTTTTTTTTTTTTTTTTTTCGGAGATAATGCTTTCCTACTTACCCTTACCAATTTAATTGAAGCATTTGAAACCTATTTATCTAGAGCATCGATTTTAGCTTGGCTTTCTCAGGCTACACCAGTTTAGGGCAGGGCTCATAGGTATATGCAGGTATATGGTATACGGGGATATGAGAAGTTGGTTGATTTATACCGACGGTAGCGGAGTAGGGGTATCTTCCACCAATTATGCAACAGGAGAAGTAAGGCGACTCCTTCCCTCCGCTAGCCTACGGGTCACCTGTGGGCAGGGTGTAGTACCCGGTCAGCCCCCCGATCAGGGTTACGTGAACTTAGAGCTTTCCACAAGTTGCTCGTCAACGTTTTGGCAACTCTTCGTATTTCGACCAACTTTTTGCATTCTGAGGAATTTCTCTAATTATCTTCTAATTCTGAGATATCGAGCAGCGTTTAGCGCTTAAATTGGCATTTCTTCCATATTTCACAATGTCATAGTAGACAATCTATGAATTACCTGAAAAAAAAGGAGTCAAATCCTTCGCTCTGGGGCAGATCATGCCCATGGGCGCAAGATAAACGTTATTGGGCCGCTAGGTCAGCGGTTTTTAGAGAAAATTCAAAATGATGGACGAAGATTCATGCTCTACAGACTGGAGTAGTGTCTCGGGTGAAGGAGGTCATTCGACAATTTTATTGGCTCATTATAGTTTTTTGGTTTTAATTGAAGGCAAAGTTTTATTAGCAACACTGCTTACGCCGCAAAATTGGACAAAACTGCTCAGAAATCCTACTTTTGTTGTACAATTTGCATATTTTAGCATCAGGCTTTAAAAAGTTTTTGTTTTTTTTAGCAACTTTTGAGCAACTTTCGTTACAAAAAGCAACTTTTGGTAGTTTTTTTGAGCAACTTTTTGAGAAATCTCAGGAAACTTTTTGGAAAATCTCGAGGAACTTGCGGTGGAAAGCCCTACGTGAAATCATGGGAGCGGGTAATGGATGTTGTTGAGGAGGCACCTGATGTCATAATTCACAGTGTTGGCTCCCATAACTAGCACCAGGCGTAGGATCCTTCTACCTTGGACACTGGCTGGGGCTACCTATCTTGTAAAGATACCGCCTGGGAAAGAAAGACTCGGGACCCTCCTTTCCGAAACAACCAGTCCCAAAACAAACAAAAGAAAAAATGAAGAAAGTCATGCGACGTCCATCAGGATAAGCAGTAGATGATGATCTTCAATTTTGAATCCATGGACCATTTTCAGTCGGTATACGGTATACAATGCTGCTTTCACTTTTAGGTATATCTAATATTGGTTTATTTCAGCGGGGGGGGGGGGGGGGGGGACGAAGTGGGGGGAGGGCAAAAAAAAGGTTCCAACGTTTGATGCGGGCACCCCTGGGGGGGGGGCGGAAAGCAAGGGAGTTTTTTTTTCACAACGGATATTTTCAAGGGACCTCGGCCACACTTATGTAAAGAGGGTGGTTGTTT